TGAAAGTAGCATTACACTAATCTTGGCTCGCGTGTGATAGGGAATTGACTCTAGTATACGCACCGTTGTTTCTACACAGCAATTTTCAACAGGGGAGAACAAGGGGACTGGGAATATGACGAGGCTGGTCTGAAGTATGGCAATAATGATCCGATGAACATGCTGAGAGCCTTGCTCAGCTAGGAGGAGTATGTCATCTATGGTGGAGTTAGATTTGCTGCCCTCTAACATGGTAGAACGTAGTCTGAGCAATTGGCTAGCTTTCTGATACGGAATATCTTTCTAATCTCTTTCTTTCGTTTCTATACTTGTTTGATATTAGAGTTGAGAGTAAATAAAAAAACATTTTACAATGAACTGAGCCTTCTAACAAAGGTTGATAGGAATCGTAAGTTTGAATCGTACGATAGCCTCTTGTTCATCTAACTCATCTAATTACATGTGCAATTCTCCAACGAAATACTGATTAGCAATGCCCTCGGACCTCGGACTTCGTATATTACTTGCTGTATTAAGAAAATCAGGGACTCTATTGTTTAATGGCGAGTGAGGATTATGAGGAGTGAAGCAGCGTAGAATCTATAAGCTGTCGCGTTTCCTCTTATTCTATTCGAATCACGAACTCTTTAAAGTCTAGTCTCTGTTTGAGTAAACATAGCTAGTTCTCTGAATATTCTTGTGCTATTTTGGCACCCTGACTTAAAATGGCCGCGGAAACAAACGGCGCTACAAATGGCTCTGGCGACAGAAAACAAACGACGGTTGATGAAGATTTCATCCGTGCAGCTATAGCGAAGTCGAACTTGAACGCTCTTCGGCTCGCCTTGTTACAAGTGACTGGTGACCCGGATTTAGCCAAGATGCGAACACGGCGTCAACAAATTCGTGGAGGCGCCATGTTCACTCATGTCCTCGTCGATGAAGATGCTCCCCTTCTCACGGAAAAAGCACTGGCGTTTCTTTCTAAGCGGGAATCAGACGACTCTATCCCACCCCCGCCGTCAAAAATTGAGTCTAAGAAGCTTCTCGACCTTTTTGGGGACGAACCCGTGGGAGAGCGTGAATTCAACTACGATTATGAAGAGCTCGCATTCGAAGAATTCCCTCGTGCTGCTCAGTGGACTGAGAAAAAGCGATCCGCCGAAACGATCTCTCAATTTAAGATCGTCATCATCGGTGGTGGCATTAGTGGCCTTGCTGCGGCTGTTCAATTCAAGCGGCTGGGCCTGAACTTTCAAGTAATCGAGCGACAGAAAGGGATCGGCGGCACCTGGCTCCTCAACTCATACCCAGATGCTCGAGTCGATACTTCTAGCTATCTGTTTCAATTCAAGTTTGTCAAGAACTATCCCTGGTCGGAGTATTTCGCAACTGCTGGAGAAACCCAGGAATACCTGGAGTACGTCGCCAACGAATACGAAGTGGAAGACCACTTCAGCTTCAACCGTGAGGTGGTCAGTGCTATATGGAACGAGCTGACTAAAAAATGGCAACTTACGGTTAAAAGTAACGATGGTGGCGTGGAAGTAATCATTTGTGACGCTGTCGTGAGCGGCAGCGGTGTCTTTTCAACACCGAGTATTCCTGATATAAAAGGCATCAAAGATTTCCAAGGACATATCTTCCACACGGCAAACTGGGACCACAAGACTGACCTGCGCAACAAGCGTGTTGCTCTTCTCGGCACGGGGTCTACTGGCGTTCAGCTTTCATCGGCTGTTGCTTCTCAAGCAAGTCAATACACTGTCTTCCAACACTCGCCGAATTGGATCATGAATATGGCCGGCTACGGGACACGTATTGACGATCATGTGCGCTGGCTCTTTGCCACGATGCCTTATTACTGGAACTGGTTTTGTTACTCAGCACATGTGACATCGCAGCAACTACAAGGACTTCAGGATTATGACAAGGACTGGCAAGCAAAAGGAGGTCTCATCAATAAGCGCAATGATCTGGTACGCGAGTCACTCACGAGCTATATCAAATCGAAGACCAAGAGCAAACCTGGCTTATTTGAGAAAGTGTTGCCCGACTATCCGCCCCTAGTCCGTCGTCTTGTTGTGGATAACGATTTTTTCGACACCTTACTGCTCGACCATGTGGACCTTGTAACAGACAAGATCGAAAGCTTTACAGAAAATGGTATCAAGACGGCTGATGGCGCGGAGCGTGAGTTTGATATCGTGATTCTCGGCACAGGCTTCAAGGTTTCACAGTACTTTTGGCCATGCAAGTATGTTGGCCGAAATGGCACAACTTTGGAAGACTTATGGAAGAAAGACGGAGCACGGTCATATCTCGGCTTAACGATGCCGGGATTTCCAAACTTCTTCAGCTTCTATGGCCCGAACCACCAGCCACGCTCTGGAGGATTCTATTCGTGGGGAGAAATCTGGTCGCGGTATACGGCTGAGGCTATTGTTCATCTAATCGAGAACAAGTTGAATAGCATAGAATGCCGAAAAGATGTCTTTGATCGCTATAACGACAAGTTGGATGAAGCGAACAAAGGTCTGATCTGGGAGCTGCCAGGTCATGGTTACTACGTCAACGAGTTTGGGCGCCAAAGTGTTAATACTCCATGGAATACGGCTGATTATCATTCTATGGTTTTAAAACCGAATATGGATGATTTTGACTTCCAATGATGGGAGAAACTGTTTGATCATGATAATGTTATGTAGCCGAAATTACCCAAATTCGAATATTTAGGAAGCAAGACTTTGCTTCTATTTGTCTTGAAATCGGGTCGCCTATGGTGGCGATGAGCTGCAATAACCTAACAAGCTTTAACGAGGGAAAGTAACATATCAAACATGGAAAAGTGGCATCAAACCGATCATATGATCAAGTTGTTGAGATTCGCATAGGAGTCTCGTAGGTCTGTGACAATCAAGTGTTCATTGGATTCACAAGGGTACCAAGAAAACAACTAGGTAACATGAATGAATAATGCTTTTAACATTCTAAATCACCTGCTTCTCTTTCAGTGCTTTCACACCCGCGGCATCAATGCCCAGCTCATGCAATATCTCCGCAGTGTGTTGACCGAGGCTTGGCGGCGGCTCTCTCAAGCTCGCAGCGGTTGTTCCGAACTTCACCGCTGGACCGATTAGGCGGAGATGGCCGGACTCAGTGGTATCTAGATTGATCTGAGCAACCATGTCTCGTGCCTCAGCTTGTGGGTGCGCAAACGCCTGCTCCATGTTGTTTATAGGGGCAAAGGCAAGGCCAGTCCCGGCGAATGTCTCGGCCCATTCCGCTGTTGTTTTTGTCTCGAACACATTGTCTAGAATGGGGTTTAGAATATCCCGATGAGTTACACGCTTGGGGTTTGTGCTGAATCTTTCGTCTTTCAGAAGTCTTTCGACGCCCAAGACCTTGCAAAGAGAGGCGAACTGGGCGTCATTGGTAGCACCACAGACTAGAAAGGCGTCTTTGGTCTTGAAACCGTTGTAAGGAACGATACTAGGATGCTGGCAGCCCCATCTCTGTGCCTCGATCCCTAGGTTGAGCCAGGCCAGGCCCACGTTGGTAAGAAGGCTTATTTGTGTCTCGAAAAGAGACGCATCTACTCTCTGGCCTTTTCCGTTTTTTGAACGAGCAGCCAAAGCTGCGAGGATGGCCCCATGAAGGTATAGGCCAGTTGCCATGTCCACTAGTCCGATTCCAGGCCGTACGGGCTGTCCGTTGTGCTCCCCAGTCACATGGAGGAGTCCGGCTTCAGCACCAGCTATTGGATCGTATCCTCCGCGGTTGGAATATGGCCCTGTGGTTCCATATCCTAGCGCGAGAAGAAGTTAGTTCTAATTACCAACAGTGACTAATTCTATTATAGCAAGCGGGATTGAATACCAGAAATGCTTGCATATATCAGTTCTGGGTTCCTTTCCTTGAGATATTCATATCCCAGACCAAGTCGGTCCATGGTGCCTGGCTTGAAGTTTTCGACCCTATGATACAGTATCATGTTCATTAGCCGGGTTTCCTATTATCAGTAATGCACATATGCGAAAAGAAAACGCACAGAACATCCGCCTTCTCTGCAAGGCGCGTTAGAACCTTCTTTCCCTCTGGGTGCTTCATATCTAGCGTAAGAGACCGCTTATTTCGATTCACTGCGGAGAAGTAGTTTGACATTGGGCCCTTTGATTTCTTCCATTTGGAGGTTTCTCCTGGCATCATCCAATGTCGAGTATCATCCTGTTGATAGAGGTAATGATTATTAGTCGCTGACAAAAAACGCAGTGTGAGTGCGTTGAACATACCCCTTTACCAATAGCCTCCACTTTGATGACATCGGCTCCATAGTCTGCTAAGATCTGGGTACAGAAGGGTGCCTGTTGAGTATAATTAGCGAGTGAGCCAGAGTTCCTTATTATAGGAAGCTGTTTTTTACTGCTAATACTCGTGATAGATCAAGTATTTTTAAACCTTCTAACGCTCCAGGCGTATGACTACCTTCAAGAGTAGGTTTGGTTGAGTGAAATCGGTGTAGAAACTGCGGATGCAACTTTGATGACGGCTTGATCAGGCCTGATCTAATGGTTAAGGTATGGGCACTTTTCCGTGAACTTCTCACAAGCCACATCGATTTCGTTACTGCCAACATATTCTTTGACGTGGAATCAAACAACTCCGAGACTAGAGCTCGAAAGGGAGAGCTCAGAAAAGCCAAATTTCAGATTTCTTTCATTTTGATACCATAATTGGCCGTGCTTATGTACACAGATCAACTGGTCTTGTGTGGCACACCCCGAGGATACCTCGGATAATACATGGGCTGGGAGGACAGCGCACACCACGGATCCGTTCAAGCTGCATAAACAGGTTTTTTTTTCAAATACCCCGAACGCCACTGACGTGCCTTGAATGGTTTCTCCGCAACGTGGGAAGCCGATCGAAACTGGGGGGTGCAGCAGTTGCCAGTAGCAGTTCCCCTTGATAACAGGGTTTAACTAGAAGCTTGTATGGTAGATAATTATTTTCATTCATTCTTATTCTCGACCATAATAGCTCTTCGGAAGACCCAACACCTTCTGGCCAATGTGTTTCTTGATCATTTCTCCGCTAATTGGAGCAATCCTAGCCAACGTAGCTTCTCGCAGATAACGCTCTACGTGGTACTCCTTTGCATATCCCATTCCTCCATGAGACATGACGGCTCTCTCAGCAGCATTGAAAGCAGCTTCAGCAGCAAGATACTTACCAGCATTAGCATATTCTCCGTCCCCGTAGCCTTGATCATACAATCGTGCTGCGAGATAAATCATAAGCCGAGCACTCTCAAGATTCATCCAGCACTCCGCTAGCGGGTGTTGGATCCCTTGATACTTTCCAATGGGATTTCCGAAGATGACTCTTTCACTTGCGTAGGCACTGCTCCGCCGCAAAGCAGCATATCCAATTTCCAAGGCTTCGGCGCCCACAAGCACTCGTTCAGCATTCATTCCATGCATGATCATTTTGAATCCGTCGCCCTCGTTTCCAATTAGATCACTGACAGGAACTTTCCAATCTTCGAAAAGCAAAGAATTTGTATCAACTGCTAAGCGTCCCATTTTTGGTATTTCCGTAATTTTTACTGCAGACCGGTCTAAGTCCGTGTAAAAGAGGGAAAGGCCGTGATTCGGTTTCGTGGCCTGATCCAAGGGCGTCGTCCTGACAAGAATCAAGATTTTCTCAGCCACCTGGGCAGTGGATATGAATACTTTGGAGCCCTTGAGCCTATAAAAGTCGCCGTCCCTCTTGGCAGATGACTGCAATCGAAGAGTGTCTAAGCCAGAATTCGGCTCGGTGACCCCGAAACAAGCTCGTTCTTTGCCCTCAATAAGAGGGACCAGCCAGCGTTGCTTCTGTGCTTTTGATCCGAATTTCACCACTGGCTCTAAGCCAAAGATGTTCATGTGAACGGAGGACGCGCCGTTGACCCCTGCTCCTGACTCGGAAATTGTCTGAAGCATCACGGCTGCTTCTGAAATTCCTAGTCCGGAGCCGCCGTATTCTTCAGGAAGGCAGATCCCCAACCAACCATCTCTTGCAAGGTCCTTGTAAAGCTCCCAGGGAAACTGGTGCTCGTTGTCCTTTTCCAACCAATACTCATCGGGATACCGAGAGCATACTTTGCCGACTGCTTCTCGGACGGAGCGCTGCGACTCAGTCCATCCCGGAAGGTTGCTGGGCAGAAATTCAGTGGCCTGGGCATGAATTTGTCGTCGATGTTAATTATTGAGATGCTTTAGAGCTCTGAAATTTGAACTGGGAGGCAAGAAATTGTGCTGCAAATAGCAAATTCTCGCGGTGGAGTTGAGAATTCTTCTCTGCATCATCATGGATGGGCGAGTCGAACTATGGCAAGTTTGTTCTGATGATATTGCCTCTCGGTTTGTAATCGCTTTTGGCGTAAATTCTGGAAAACCTCTGTGATAGTCCGTGATAGTTCTTTCCCTTGCTTCCAACACATCTAATTTAGTCAACACACGTCATGTGCTACGGTAGATCCGCAAATTTGCACGTACTTTGATCACCTCTGGAGAACCCCGTTTCGGAGGGTTGTTGACGTGAGTGGTGGCCGGCTATCAAGATTTATGTCCCGAGGCTCCTATTGCGGTCTCACCCCTTGTCTCGGGCCGGATATCCGCAAAGAGTCACAGAAGTAGTGGAAATGAGACAAGCCCTACATTTACGAGCAACTAACGGTAGCTCTACATGTGATTATCGCCTTGCGTCTAGGCATCTGCTGAATAAAGCTCCGGATCATTTGTATTTGATAGCCATGTGATAGGGGAACAGTTCAAATAGTTTAACCATTGTATTGACATGCGATCAGAGATATGAAAACTAACAGCACTTATAAGATTTAGTTTATAGATCCGCTGATAATATATCCATTCTAGAGATAATACCCAAAAGTCTAGCCGAGCCGTATTACCACCGAATGCATATCTTCGTAATGACATCAGAGACGGTCAACATGATGATCCTGTTTGAAATCTCAGCCCATATATTATGTAAAGAGAAGGACAGTACTTACGCATGAGGCGCTATTCTTAAGTAATAAGGGGTGAATCCGCGATAGAAAGCGGTCGGGCCCTCGGTACGTAACACCTTGATGATACAATCTAGCACGCCGTTGTATCGTTCGCCTCCCCCTTTCTGCCTTGATTGTCACTGCATTCTGGTTTTGACGAAATCAAATGGTAGGCTTAAAGTGGCAGCGACAGTGCCAGAAATTGCCGACGCAACTATGCTTTTGGAAAATTCTGGCATATTGGTGTGTTTTGATAGTTGATGCTTGGCTTCGGAGAACGATGCAAGCTGGCCGAAGTTGGTTGAACATGCCCGGACGACTGTTGGAGTTGCACCGCTCCATAGGCCACGAAGGCCTTCTTTCCGCGCAATGGTCTTCAGCGCGTCTATTACAGATCGATAGTTTGCTCGCTCTGACAATGGTTTCGCCCCGTCACTCTGCATTCGGATCAAAGCAACCTCAGTTGGTGTCCCAATGAAAGAGCCCAGCCCGCCGGCGAGAAGACCAGCAATCCCACGGTCTATGAATGATATCTCACGGCGCTGCAGTTGAGCTCTCTTCTTCAATTTATCCTCAAACGTGTAAAATAGGCCCATTCGTGCGGTGCCATAGACAATTTGCCGGAGATACCCGGCGGAGATGCCTTGATACAAGTCCAGGAAGCTTCCCTTTGCCACAATCTCCCTGGCCACAGTGAATGGGCTTGACCGATTGCCACTCTTACTAGCCTGCCCAGAAAGCTGCACTCGTACTTTGACAACGTCAATGGGATGTATAACCGTAGTGGCAACAAGCCCTGAGGCGCCGCCGATTAGAAAAGGCCGGAGGGTAATCATTAGGCTTCTCGCATGCTGCCAGGGTGCCCACAATGAATCTTGGGCATTATTCAACTTCACCATTCTTATTATTTCAGATGGTATATGTGATAAGGGTTGAAGAATGCCCGTGATAAAGCCCAACTGCTGCCTTAGACCCTCTTCACCAGGCCAAATAAATTCAACAGCCAAGACACGCTATATCACTAACCCTAGAGCAAATAAGGGGCAAAATGATGTATGAGGGTTAAGAAAAGATCTGAACCGCACCTCGGATGATAAGGAATCACTTAATAAGCCATTTTGTTGGTAAATACCATTTCTGGTTGGATTATCACTTTTGGTGTATCGGCTTTTGCGTTGCCACCTCGGCAACTATGTGTCCGGCACCTTCAACCCTTGCCACCTCCAGGACGCAAGCTCTCAGCAAAGAATGATAGACATAAGAAAACAGCTCGAATAATATGAATAGCTACACTGGTATCCCGATCTATGACATTGTGTTTTAGAGTTTTAGTAAAATTACCCAGATACGGTTGCCAGAATACATTAGTGTTCAATCAAGTTAATCAGCCATTTTACTGATGATGAAGGCAGCAGCTTCAGACAAAGACTTATCTGCCTCTGGAGAATTTCCGGCCAAAGCTACCCAGATGTGCTGCATATCAGGTGGTAATTCCAGCTGCACGTGGACGCCTGCCTTTCTTGCATTCTCTGCCAACGAGACAGCATCGCTTTCGAGGATGTCAGAGGTACCCGTCGCTATATACATTGCCGGCATTCCTGTGAGATCCGTACGAAGTAGATCTACCAGAGGATCGTCCAGCGAGGCACCACCTAGGTATGTTGTGATTACACCTGGCAGAGCCTCAGGAGATGCCAGGGCGTCCTTGTGGTTGTTTCTTTCGTAGGTCTCTCCTGAAGCTCGCATATCGAGCCAGGCAGAGAATGTTGCGATTGCCGCAGGGATGGGCAAGCCTCGTTGTTTGATCGCGAGTGAGGCAGATACGCTCAGATTTCCGCCAGCAGAGTCTCCCGCAAAGGCTATGTGACTAGGCTTTAGGCCTCGATCATTCAACAGCCACTGATACGTAGCGAGGACATCTTCAATTTGCTTTGGAAATTGATGTTCTGGAGCTCGACGGTAGTCGAGAACAAGGGCGCATGTCCCGGCCTTTTTGGCCAGATGTGCAGCGATCTTGCGATGGCTTGCAGGAGAGCCTGAGATAAATGCCCCGCCATGAAGGTACAATATCAACTTTGAAGGCGAGGATGAGTGCGGTTTGCACCAAATCGCCGGCCGAACCGTGCCAGGACACTTAACCTCCTCATATGTCACATCTGCCGGCTCTGAGGCTAGTGATCCACACTCCTCCATGACTATCCGATAGAGCCCTATGTCTAGGGACTCCTTTGTCATGTATTGGGACAGATTTGTCCAAAAGCTTTCCATCTCCATGTTGGATAGTTGCCAAGATGTTGAACGGCTGGATTATGATCTAAGAGAAGACCGCTGTCCTTTTGGAGCATCTAATCAGAAGCTCGAGGATCATATATCCTCATATTTTCACGTCGTGAACCCGAGGATGTTGAAGGTCTGTTTGGAAGAATGACCCCTCGGCTAATGTTGGCGAATACATTTATTAACTGTCGCATGATAGGTCAAGTTAACTTTTTATTCGCCTCGCATAGAGAAGAGAGTAGCACATGTATTTTATATAGGTAGTAGTTATATTGGTCTAGCATGCAAAACCAGTCGCGAAGTAAAACCAGTCGCGAAGTAAGTTGATATTCTGCTCACCGTCGTTGGGGAATATGAAGTGAACGACTAGCCTACCACCGGGTCACATAGAACCCTAGATTTAGGGTGTGTACATTAGAACAGCGTAGATTCTTCACTTACCGGTAAGCGCAGACCAAAATCGAGACATCCTTAAGTGTCCCCTCGGGAAATGGCAATCAATGAGAAGGAAAAGTAGTCTGGTAGTTCACGCGGACGATACTTTCTTGGCTAAAGCCGTTCGTGACTTCAGCCCCTCATCATTTTGGCCGGGTGATATGCCCATGACCTCAATTGCTCTCTTCACCTCGGGTGCAGTGATATGCATCCTTCGCCTCGCGCATTCCATTGTTAAGTGCTTCGTTTATTCGTCTTAAGACATCTCATGCTTCCGAGCTCCTCAACAGTCTTCCATAATTGTTACTCCTCGCATTCTGTAATCTCAAAGCAATGTCATTCCAAAACAAAGTTATTGCTATTACTGGTGGTGCCCAGGGCATTGGCCTAGCCACTGCTCGGGTTCTGGCAAGTAGAGGTGCATCTGTCACAGTCGCCGATAGTAATCCTACCACGCTCGCCGATATGGAAAAAGAGTTTGCCAGAAAAGGCTGGCCGATTCATACCGTTGCGGTGGACGTAAGGCAGCCGGAGATGGTGAATAATTGGATTGATAGCTCTGTCCAAAAGTTTGGGCACCTCGATGGTGCTGTTAATGCTGCTGGTACCGTAGGCAGATTGTATGGCCAGAGGCCATTAGGCGAGCAGGATGATGATGACTGGAATCTCGTCATGGGTGTCAACCTTAATGGTAAGTGATATTGGAATTTTATTCTTCTTTCCAGCACCACATGCTGAATCAGAACAATTCTCATTCGTCAACTTCAGGAATGATGTATTCCCTTCGTGCCGAGCTCCGACACTTATCAGATGGAGGGAGCATCGTGAACATTTCTTCCAACCAAGGCTGCAGGGGAGGGCCGGGTTGTGCGGCCTATTCGACCTCCAAACATGCTGTTATCGGCCTTACGAAATGCGCAGCCCATGACTATGGAGCGCGAGGGATTAGAGTCAACACGGTAGCCCCAGGGGGGACTCATGGACCCCTTATGAAAAGCGTGGTCGGGGATGTCCCACCTCCTTCGCCTAACGTACTGCGGAAATATGCAAAACCCGAAGAGATTGCTTCTATGATTGTGTGGCTATTGGGGCCTGAGAGCACGCATTGCTCTGGTGAGCTATTCCGCGTTGATGGCGGTGATTTCGCTTGAAGTTCCTACCGAGCCTTGCAGGACAGTCATAGTGTAGTGCAGTAGCTAAACGAATTCTAGGTTTTAAAATGACTCATTTCAAGTAATGGTTCATCGTGGTAGATAGAAGTATATTGTACATCATCTACGTCTCAATTTTGTTGAGATGTCGGGCTTTGGCATCTTCCATTGCTGTTTAACCTTGCACGTAAATTCTCTGACATATTGTACATCATCTCATTTTTAGTGCTGTGATTATTCGCGAGAAAGTGAGTTCAATATCTATGATCTACCTTTGTCCAAAGGACCACCTTGAGCATGAGTTGCATTGGAGAGTGGTGATGCCTATGCATAAACAGCTATAGCTTAGGTACATAAAGGGTCCATTTCTTTCCTACATTCGGTCCACACTACATAAAAATCGGGGATTCTGAATTTCCGCATGGACTTGGTAGACGGTTGAGTGAAAAACGCGGATGATGTTGATATGAGATGAGAAGTTGGGTTTCATTATCACCCTCGGTAATGAATATTCTTAAAATAGAGTGAAGAGCATGAATCCTGAAAATCCTATGACGTTTTTGTCTCTTGGCCGCATGAATTACACAAGCTAGAGACAGCAATTGACAATCGAACAGTAGAAGCTACAATATTATGCCGCCGCGGAGTATTGTTGGGGGGGCAAAGTACAAAGTATTGAACTCCAAGAAACGTGAATATTTGTCGAAAAAGGCTTGGTTTTGGGTGGGATATTTTCATAATTAACGACGGAAGATTATGTTAGGCGAAGGCTCCTTGTAAAAACCGGAATCCGTAGATTTGTTGCAAGTACATGTTACCCCGTGCGGTGGCCTGCAGGTCAACGATGGGGATACATTAATGTACGTCATGCACCGGGTTGGCCACCGCAATTCAGTATAGTTACCGAGGTACATACGGCTTTTGATTTACCGTGTGTAACGATATAGCTAGGTAGATAAATATCGTCTGGCTTGAAGTTAATTGCAGTCTAGGGTGAGAGTTTTTAAACGCATGCCTTTGAGCCTGTTTGAGGCTACTACGATATACCATGACGGTGGCAAACATTTTCGCTGAAGACCCTAGCAGCTATAGTCGTCTGCTTGTATGGGCTGCTCTACTCGTGAGAACTTCAAGAGCATGTTTGCGTTCAAGATACCTGATCGTACTGACAAGAAGAACGATTAGATCGTTACCGTTGCTTTGCCCACCGCACTTGTTATCATATACAATATCTACCTGAGCCCCCTCAGCGCTTATCCTGGCCCAAAGGCATCAGCAGCGACTTCGATCCCATACTTGAAAGCTCTTGTTTCCGGCAAGTCGTGCGAATATGTCTATGGGCTACACAAAAAATACGGCGATGTTGTCCGAATATCGCCCAACGAGTTATCATACACTAGCTCTCAAGCTTGGAAAGACATTCACACACATCGCCCCGGACAAGCATATCCAGACAAGGAACCCGCATTCTACGTACACCCTCCAAACGGTGTCCCGTCTCTGTTCTCGTCAAACAATTTCTATCACACACGCTTGCGTCGCCCACTGGCCCATGCTTTCTCCGAAAAAGCTCTCCGAGACCAGGACCCTCTGATCAAAATCTATATCGACACCTTGGTTGAAGGATTGAGGGATAAAGCAACCAAGGGCGAGGCTGTTGATGCTTGTGCTTGGCTGAACTGGACCACGTTTGATCTCATGGGTGAGCTTTCATTTGGTGAGCCGTTCGACTGCCTCAAGAAGCAACGGTTTGACCCATGGGTCGAAATCATCTTCGACACAGTTCGGGCCACAGCTATTATGGGTGGCCTGAGGCGATATCCCGGCCTCCAAACATTGATCGAGTTCTTTGTCCCTGCTGCTCAGAAGGAGTTGCCCGCGAGGCACCAGAAAATGACGGATGACAAAGTGGCTCGTCGCTTAGCCAACACCACCGACCGACAAGATTTCATGACCCCATTGCTGAAGAATAAAGGACATCAAGAGCCTCTGACAACGGCGGAGTTGAGCAGTGAGATGTTTTCTGTCATTGTTGCCGGATCGGAAACGACAGCTACGGCGTTGTCTGCAACTCTCTATTTTCTGGCAAGAAATCGTGACAAACTCAAAAAGCTCCAGCAAGAGATTCGTAATGCATTCAAATCTGAGGACGAGATTAATATGCTTTCCACCAACTCGCTTGAGTATACGACAGCCGTACTAGAGGAATCAATGCGTGTATACCCGCCCGTGCCTATTGGAATGCCCCGAGTCATCCCAAAGGGCGGCCTCACAGTTTTGGACAAGCATCTTCCAGCTGGAGTTAGTATCTCACCTACATCATCTTCCTGAAGAATGAACTAGCACTGGCGATTCGCTGCATCAGCTTGAAGTACAAAAGTAACTAAGTGTTCTATAGACTATAGTGTCGGTGCATCAGTATTCAAGTAATCACTCCCTAAAGTACTGGAAGGATCCCGAGAGCTTCATACCTGAACGTTGGATGGGCGATCCCAACTATGCTGATGACGACCGCCGAATCTTCCAGCCATTCTCAACCGGAGCTCGAAATTGTATCGGCCAAAAGTAGGTCCTCTTTGACTTGCCCAGTCCCATGACTTATCAAGATGACAGTAAGCAATGTACTGATGACGTTATGGTAGTTTGGCATACGCCGAGATGCGTAGCATCCTCGCTAGGCTGATGTACAACTTTGATGTCGTGCTTGATGACGAGAATCATAACTGGCTTAGTTCTCAGAAGACTTATTTCATTTGGGAGAAAGGTCCTCTCATGATGAGATTTATCAATGCATAATCTGTGTTAACGAAGAGCGAGTCAAGTCGGGCTCCTCATTGGAAATTTGGTAGAACCTGAAGCTGCAAGTCTGTAGTCCTGTTGGCGGGGTTTGTTTCGGTACATCGATCAATGCCATTTTTGATTAAATCAAAAAGAGATCTGTGTCTGACGACTGCCTAGAACATATGAATATATATTGACCACAGCTTGTCAAAAATTCTCATAAAAACACCACATATTATTTTCGGCAATTAAATGACTTGGGCCGAATGTTCAGTGCATTGACACGGTATAGTGGTATGCAATAGTAGTACTAGATGGAAAGAGGGAAGAGCAACTAGAGTTGCTACTAGAGTTGAACTCTTTGATATCATTTAAAATCGAAGCCTCGGGGAATGAGAGAATAAGAGTGCCTATCACACCAAAGCTCGTGATATGAAGAACCTTCTATTCATACCTGAAGCAATTTAAGTCCTTGTTAAATGTTACTGTTTGCCGAACATCTTCGTATCTTTTTCAAATCCAAAAACACGATCGACATATACCCCTTTGCCCTTCCCGGCAACTAATTCTTTCACATACTCAGTAAAAGGCACATGCTTCAGATCTGGGTAAAGCTCTTTGCCATTCAAATATCCCAGGTATGCCGCGCTCTCGGGAAGATTATCACCACGCAGCCAAACCGAGTTCGCATACTGGGTAGATGATAGGCCTAGAAGGTTAGGTACCGAACCATCTTGATCATATCGATTCTGGGCTGCGTTGATATTCGCTAATATTTCTTCCTCGTTGGCATAATCGCGTGAGACTTTCTCGCCGCTCGAGTCCTCGAGAGTGGAGTAAACCTCTTCCTGGGTTAAGACTTCATTGTACACAAAAACGGATTTGTTTAAGGTACGTTCGTCGGTGATAATTCGGGCAACGTAATTGCCTACATCTCTGAGGTCGGTCAAGGCAGACCTCAGATTTCCATCCTTAACGAGCTTATTGTTAGGGAATTTGATAGCGTAGTCAAGCTTGCCTGAAGGAAGTCGTGGCAAGGAAGTTTGATACCACCAGCCAACATCTATCGCCGTATATGGAAGATAGAGCCTTTTTATATGATTGAGTACCGCTTCTTTCTACAAATCGTTGAGCATTCATATTACCTCGACTGAATGTCTCGATGTCTTCAGAACTCACAATTTCTCTCAATATTAGAACTCCAGTTGGTGGGCAGGCGGGCCCAAATGCGCTGGGTACAAACCTCTTGACCTTGGCTTCTTTGGCTGCATTCGCGAGAGCGATTTGTGTCTCTGGTACGAAAGGGATGATGCAGCAAATGACGGTGTCCTGCCCACTGAGCGCTGCCACCAGCTCCTCATGTGGTGCTTCTAGGTCAAGGGTAACCACCTTCACACCGTGATTTCTGAGCCGTTGAAATTCAGGCTTGTTTTCTGATGCAGGGCGGCATAGAGCAGTGACCTCCTATATTATTGTTAGCTTATATTTTCAATGTTACGGGATCATACGCCGGAGTGCTTACGAAAGTATCAGGTTGTTGAATCAATGCATGGGCGATGGATTGCCCAGTCTCGCCGGATGCGCCTACAATGGTAACTTTCATTTTAGCTTCGGAGGGGCACACGGGATGGTGAATAGGCTATGTGAGTAGTGTATTGCGACTTTGAAACAGTACGACTGCCCATGGGTCAGTTAGATAACTCAGCGAAACGTGTGCTAGTGTTTAGTTTACTGTATGTTCACGATACACTGGAAAGGACGAAATAATCCCGCTTGATCTTGAACATCAGTGTCCACAGTGCTTTGTAATGTGAACGTCGACGTTATGTCACCTCGGCAATTATATCCCTCAACCACCGACCGTGCTCTGATGTAAAATGGCGTTAGTCGTCTATGTATGGTTCAACGTATTAATTAATGCGATCTATGTAATTCTAAATTGTCTATAAAAAAGCTACCGTTCAATATCTCATCTCCCAAAACCCCCTAGCGAAGTATCTCAATGTCAAGCAGACCTTCAAGGAGAGTAGATGATAGCCGAGGTGATTAAGTGATGCTTGATAACCGACTGAGCGTTGATTTTCAGGTAGCTTTACTAACCTGCCAATTCTATTGAGGAGCCTCGGCATCAATGTTAAAGATAAACTTGTATTGCAAGTTGGTTCATGCTGAGTTCAGAAATTAAGAAAATTACTGCTGTGCAACGGGGAGAAAGCCAC